TCCCCCGCTCGTCGTTGGCCTTTGGGCTGGGCCGGCCGGTCCGCCCTCGGTGTGCCCCGGTCGTCTCGTCCCTTCTGTCGGCGCTGCGCTCCTGGCCTTCCTTGGCCGGGTCGTGCCTCCGGCGCTGTTCCTTTGCCGCCCTTCGCGTGCTCCCCGCCCGCCTCCGCTCTGTCTCCCTTCGCCTGGGCTCCCCTTCTCGGCTTTCGGTCCTCTTCCGTTGGCCTTCGGGCTCGGCGTCCTGCTTCCCCGGGCCCGTCGGGGGCCTTCGTCTTTCCTCGTCCGCGGTGCCCTTCTTGGCTTTCTGCCCGCCGCCCCCTGCGCCCGCCTTTGCCCCGGCTGTTTTCCTTCCTCCCGCCCGCCCGTTGGGGGCTCGCCGCCGCTCCGCTCCCGTCCTCGTCCCCCCTCCCGCTGCCGCCCCGGGCTCGGCGGCTGTTGCTTTTCGGCCTCCGCCGGCCCCTTCTGCGCCCTCCCCGTTTTTGGGTTCCGGGGGGCGTCTGGTCGCCCGGCTGCCCCTTCCCGGCCTTGCCGGCCGGGCCCCCCCCGGCGTGGCGCCTGCGGCTTCCTTTGCCTCCCCGGGGCCCCTTCCCCGGTCCCGCCCTCGTCCGGCTTGCCCGCCTGCGCGCTCTTTCTTGCTTCTCTGGGTGGTGGTGCCTGGCCGTTCTTCGTTGGTGGCGCGCTTTGTCTGGTTCCTTCCGTTCCCGCCCCGCTCCGCCTGCTCCCTCGCTCTGCGGCGGTCTCCCTTCGCGGCCCGCTTCTTCGCGGGCCTCCGGCCTTTTCGGCCGCGGCCGTTTGCGGCCCTCCCCGGTCTGTGCTGCCCTTCGCTGTTCTGGGCCGCCCGCGCGCTCCCTGCTGTCTTCCCCGCGCTTCTCGCCTTGGCCGCCCGGCCCGGGTCCTCTTTGCCCTTTCCTCGTGCTGGGGCTCGCTCCTTGCCCTTGTTGGTCTTCCCCGGCCTTCCTCGTCCGCGCGCGTCCTCCGCTCGCGTTGCCTCCGTCCCTGCCCTTTGTCCCCCCGCCCGTCGCTCCTCCCGCCCTGCTCCGGTGCCCTGTTCGGCTCGCGGCGCCGTGGGCGGTTCGCTGCCCGCCGTCGCGCGCCGTCCCTTGCCCCTTCTCCTTTCGCGGCCGGCGCCGTCGTCCCCGGTTTCCGTCGGTGCCCCTGCGGCCGGCTCCTTGTCGCCCCTGCCCCGCCGCCCGCCCCGCGCCCCCGTTTTCCCCCTTGGGGGCGCCGCGCGCTCGTCGTGCGCCTCCCTCCCGTCCCGCCCTGCGCGCTTGCGCGCTCGTTTTGGGGGCCCCGCCCCCCGGCGCGGCCCGCGCCCCGGCCTCCTCCCCGGCCGCCCTCCCCTCGCGCCCCGTTCGCGGCTCGTGCGGGGGGCCGCGCGCTGCTCTTTCCCCCCCCGCCTCTCGGCCCCGGCTCTCTCGGCTCTCGCCTCGCTGCCGCCCGTCGCGCCCTGCGCTCCTTGGTGTGCCTTGCCGCCTCCCGTGCCCCCTCGCGTCTTTGCCCGCCCGTTGCGCCCGCCGCCCTTCGGCCGCGGGCCCGTCTGCCTGGGCGTCCCGCCCCCGCCTCGCCGCCCCCGCCGCGCCCGGCTCCGCGCGGGCGGCCTGGCCTCCCGTGCGCCCCGCGCGCGCGGCTGGCCTCCCTGCGCGTCCCCGTCGCCGGCCGTCGCGGCCCGTGGTGGTTGCCCCTCCCCTCTCTCTTGTTGTCGCGGCTCCCGCCCGTCGTGCGTCCGGCCTCCCCGCCCCTGCTTGCGCCTGCGCGCGCGCCGCCCCCCGGTCCGGCGGGCTTCCCCTGCGTTTCCGCCTCTCCCTCCGCGGCGGCCCCGCCCCTTCCCCGGCTTCCCTTCGTCCCGGCGCGCGCCCGGGCCCCGCCCCGCCTTCGCCTCGGGCGGCTCCGTCGTCCGCCTTGTCGTCTGGCGCCGCGTCCTCCGCGGCGGCCCGGGCCCCCGTCCCCTGGCCGGGGGCGCCCGCGCGGGTGCGCGCCCCGTTGTGCCCGGCCCCTGTCGCCCCCCGCGGCGCTGTCTCCGCGTCGGGTTGTTTGGGCCTGCCGCCCCCCCGGGCGGTGCCTTCCGTCCCCGGCTCCCTCCGGGCGCGCGCCCGCTCGCGCCCCCGTCCCGCGCGGGCCCGCTGCCCCGGCCTTTGCCCCGCGCGTCCCCGCGTGCTTGCCCTTGTCGGGCGGGCCGCGGCTGGGGGCCGGCGCTGCGCCCCGGTCGGCTGTGGCCCGGTGCGCGCCGGTCCGCCGCTCGCCTCGGGGCGTGGCCCGCGTGGCTTGGGGGGGCGGCCCCCGCCCGGGCTCTCGCTCCGCCCGCGGCCCGCCGTCTCCTTGCTTGTGGTCGGCCCGCGCGCCTCTGGCGTGCTTCGGCCTCTGCGCGCTCCGGCCGCTGGCCTGTGGGCTCCCCCTTCGCCCCGTCTTGCCCCCCGGCCCCCGGCGTCTGCCCTGTGTGCGCGTCCCCGGGCGCGTCCCCCGTCCGGCGTCCGGCCGCTGCTTGGTGGGCTCCCCCTGCGGGGTGCCCCGCCGCCCGCCCTTGCTCTTCTGCGCCGGGTTCGCGTGTGCGCCTCCCTGTCGGGCCCCGCCCGCTGGTGCCCTCTGCCTGCGCGGGGCGCCGCCCGCGGCCCCTCTGGTGGCGGCCCGCCGCGCTCCTGCCGTGCCCCTCGTTCGTCTGCCTTGGGTCTCGGGGCGCCCGCCTCCTCGCCCCGTCTCGTCGCTGGTTCCCTCCGCCGTTTCCCTCCGGCTCGCTGGCGCTCGCGTGCGCGTTCTCTCGGGTCCCGCCCCTGCTTCGCGGCCTCGGGGGCGCCCCGCCCTCGCCCTCTTCTCCCCTTTCCCTCGGTCGGCCGGCGCGGCTGCTTTGTTGCGCCGCGCCCCGGCCTCCCGCGCTCCCCGTGGGCCCTTTTTGGTCCGCCGCCCTGGCGCTGCGGGCTGCCCCGGCCGCCGGGTTCCGGTGCCCCCTGCGCGCTCCCCTCGCTCCCCCCGGGTGTTGGTCGCTTCCGCCCGCCGGCCGGTGGTCCTGGCCGTCGCCCTCCGCTCCGGCGTGTGTCCCCCCTCCCTGCCGCCTCCCCTCGCCCCGCCCCTGGCTGGCGCTTCCGCGCGCGCCCTCCCCCCGGCCGTCGGGGCCCGTGCCCGGCCCCGCTGCGTCGGCGGGCGCGGCGGTCGCTGCCCCCTTGGGCGTGCGCCTGGGCGGCGCGGCCGTCGGTGCCGCTCTTGGTGGTCGTCGCCCCTCTTCCCCTGCGCCCTTTGCCGGCCGCCGCGGGGCCCGGTTCCCTGTGCCCGGCCCTTGCCCCTGGGTTCGTCGCTCCTCCGGGTCGGGGGCCCCCCGCCGCTCGCGCGTTTCGCGCGTCCTCCGCCCGGGCCTCGGGTTCCCCTTCCTGCCCCGGGCCGTGGCGGTTGCCGGCCCCGTTCGGCCGTCCGGCGCCGTCGGCGGGCGCCTCGGGCCGCGTTCTCTTTTCTGTTTCCCCCCTGCCCCCCCTGGCCTCGGCTCCGCCGGCGGTCGGGTCCCGCGGCTGGCCGCGCCCCGCCCGTCGCGTGGTGTCCGGTGCGCTCCCGGCGGCCCTTGCCCCCGGCGGCCCGCCTGCCGTCCCCGCCCGGTCGTCCTCCTCCCCGCCTCCGGTCTCCCCGGTGCCCCGCCTCTGGTCGCTGGCCCCCTGTCGGCCCGGGCCGTCGGCCCCCTGGCTCCGTCCCTTCGGGCCCGGCTTGGCTCTGCGGGCTGGGCCCGGGGGTCCCCGTCCCGCCCCGTCGGCTGTCGGTGGCCTGCTCGCGCTGCTCCGCGGCGCGCGCGGGTCGCCGCGTGCCGGCCGGGGGCCGGCCTGGGCCCGGTTCCTTCGGGGGCCTTCCCCGGGCGTCGCCCCGCCCCTCCGCCCTGGTCCGGCCCCGGGCCTCCGCCTGTTTCCTTCCCCCCCGCCTTGCGCTGGTCCCCCCGGCTGTTTCCGCCCTGTGCTTTCTGCCCCGTGCTCTGCCTGTCCCCGTGCCGCCCTTCCCCCCGCGCGGGTCCCCGGCGGGCGTCCCTCTGCCTCTCTTCCGGTCGCCCCCTGCCTCGTCCTCTCCTTCGTGCCGCGCCTGCCTGGCTTCCCGCGCTTCCCCCTGTCCCTGTCTCTCTCCAGCCCCCCCCGCGGCGGCGCCCCGCGCCCGCCGGGCCCGTGGGCTCTCGTTCCTCCCTCCTGCGCGTCCCTCCTCGCTGCCGCGCCTTTGGCTCCCTTCCGCGCGTCCTCGTTCCTCCCGCGTTTCCCCCCGCGCTTGGTTGCCTTTCTTCCCTTTGCCCTTCCGCGCCCTGGGCCGCCCTCCCTTGCGTCCCCTCCGTTGGGCCCCTCGCCTGCTTTGTTTTCCTTCCCCCGTCGGCTTCCCCTTGTCCGTCCCGTTCTGCGTTGGCTGTTCGCCGCCCGGGGCCGGCCCCCGCCGGCCCCGTCCCGTCCGTCCCGGCCGGCCCGCGGCGCCCCGCTCTCGCCGCGGGCGCCGCTCGCGCCGTCCCCGCCCGCCGCCGGGTTCGGGCCTGGGCCCCCGTGCCCCGCCCTCCGCGCCCCTCCTTTTCCCGCCGTTCCGGCTCCCTTTTGCCGCCTTCCCTTGCCTCCCTTGTTCCCTCGCCCCGCGGCTGTTCCCCTTGGCGCCCTGCTGCGGTTCTGCGTCCGCCCGGGCGTGGCCGGCCTTCGGTCCTCCGGCTTTTCCCGGGCCGCCGGGCGCGCCCCGGCCCCCCGCGCCGTGCGGTGCTCTTCCCGCCGCTGGCCCCTCCCTCCGGCTGCGCCGCTTCCCGGGTGGGCCGGCTGTTCCCCGCCCTCCTCTTCCCGCGGCTCCCGCCGCCGTCTCCGGCCTTCCTCCCGTTGCCGTCCCCGCCCCGTCCCGGTTCCGGCCTTTTCCCCCTTCCCTTTCGGCGTCCGCGCGCCCCGCGCTCTCTGTCGGGGTTCCCCCGCCCCTTCGGCTCGCCTCCCCCTGTGCCCGTGCCGTTCCCCTGGCCCCTTTCCCCTCTTCGGCCTTCCCCGTTCTCCTTTGCCTCTTTGCTCCTCCCCCCCGCTCTGCCCCGCCGGCCGCTCCGCCCCGGCTCCCGCCCCCGGTTTTGCCGCGCCCGCCGCGCCCTCCTCCTCCTCGGGGCCTGGCCCTTGCCCCGCCGGCCGGGTGTCGGTCGCGCGCTTCCGCGCCCTCCCTTTTCGGGGCTCGTTGCTTCGGCCGGTGCGTTGTTCCCCCTCCTTCGCGGCTTTCGCCTTCCCTGCCCCCCGTCCTGCTGTCTTCCTCGCCCCCCCCCTTTGTGGGCTCTCGGTTCGCGCGCCGTTTGGCCCCGTCCCCCGGCTTCCGGTTCCTCCCGCCTCGCCCGTTCTGCTTCCCCCCTGGCCCCCTTGGCGCTCTTGCTTCCGTGGCGCGGCTCCCCCCCGCCGCCGCCCGTCCTCCCTCTTTCCCGTTTGCGCCTCGGTCGCGGGCGTTGCGCCCCGCGGCCTCTCCTCCTTGGCTTTCCCCGCTCGCCCTCGCCCGCGCGCTCCCGCTCTCCTGCGGGCCCTTCGGCGGGCCCCGCTCCTCGCCGGTTCGCTTCGTCTTTCGCCCCTCTCCCCCGTCCGCCGCCCGCTTTGCCCGTCCGTCTCGCTGCGGGCCTCCCCCCGTTTCCTCTGGCTTCGCCCCGCTCCGGCCTCGTTCCCCCTCTTTCGGGTCCCGCCCGGTCTGCTCCCCCTCGCCCTTCTCCGCCGCTCCCGGTCGGTCGGCGGTGCCCCCTCCGGGGGCTCCCCCCTCCGCTTCCTTCCGCCTTCCGGGTTTCCTCGCCCGTTGCCTCGCCCCCTGTCCGCCTCCTTGGTCCGTGTTTCCCGCCGGGTCGCCTGGGGCGCCCCCGGCCCGCGTCCGGCGCGCGCCGCTGCCGCCGCCCGCCCGCGGCGCGCGCTGCCTCCCCCCTCGGCGCCGGCGTTCCGCGGGCGTCTCGCGCGCCCGGGCTTTGGCCGCCCCCCCCTCCCCTGGTCCCCCCCGCGTCGCTCGGCGGCCCGGCTCGTCCCCGTTCCCCCTCCGCCCGGGGCGCCTCGCCGGCCCCCTCCGCTTCCCTCCCGCCCTTTTCCCGCCCTCTTTGCCTCTCTTTTCCCCGTCCTTTTCCTCTTTCCCTCGCGGTCCTTGTTCGCTCTCGGTCTCTCGCCCGTCTTTCGCCTTGGCCGGCCTTCCCCGCCCGCTTTGGGCTGCCTTCCCCCCCCCCGCCTCGTCGCCCGCGCCTCGTGGTGCGCCCGGGTCCGGGCCCCCGGGGCTCTCCCCTCTCTGGCGCCCCCTTCCCGGGGCCTTGGGCCCGGTCCGCCGCTGCGGCCGCTTCTCCCCCCCCTTCGGCCGCCGGCGCCGCCCGCTTCTCCGGCTGGGCTGTTCCCGGTTCGCTCGCCGTTCCTCCGGGCCTCCTTGTCCGTTTCTTTTCCTCCGCTTCTTGCTCTGCTTCCCCTCCGCGGGTCCTCCCGCCTGCCCTGGGGTCGCGGTCGGCGCGCGCCGGCGCCCTCCGGGTCTGGGCGTCCGGCCGCCCGCCGGGCTGTCGCCGCGCCCCCCGCGCGCGTTGCGTTTCCCCCCCCCTTGCCGCGCCGTCCGTCGCCGTGGCCTCGCCTTTCGGCCCGCCGCGCGCTCGGGGCGCCCGGGCGGCCCGCTTCCGCCCCGCGCTGCGCCTTGCGGCTTGCGGGGGGCGCCGCGCTGCGTGCCGCCCCGGCCGCCGTGCCCTCGGCCTCCTGGCTTCGGGCGCCCCTTGCGTTCCCCGCCTCGCTGGTTCCCGGGCTTCTGCCCTTCCCCCCCGTCTCGCCTTTCGCTCCGTTCTTCCTCGCTGCGCGCGCCGCGCTCTCCGTTGCCGCGCGTCGTTTGTGTTTCCCGCGCCGCGCGCGTCCCCCGCCCGCTCCGCGCCCGGGGCGCGCGGGGCGGGCTGCCGCTTTTCGTCTTCCTTGGCGCTTTCCGCGCCGGGGTTCGTTGGCCCCCCCGCGCGCGCCCGCGCGCCGGTCGGGGCCGGGCGGGCGGCGCCCGCCGCGCGCGTCGCCCCCCGTGTTTCCCCGTGTTCGCGGGTTCTGCTTTGCCGGTTTCGCCCCTGCTCCTTCCGCCGGTTCCCCTCCGGCCCCTTGTTCCGCCTTCTCCTTCCTCTCCCTGCTCCGGTTCCCTGGCCTTCTCGCGCCGTCGCGGGCCGCGCCCCGCCCCGTCGCCGCGCTCCGCCCCTTTCCCCGGCTCCTTCCCTCGGTCGGCGCGCCGGGCGGTGTGTCCCCGGGCCGGGCCGTCGTCCCCGCGCGCTGCTGCCTCGCGCTTCCTCGGCCTTCCTCGTTGCCGCCCCCCCTTGCCCTGCTCTCTCCCCTCCCGCTGCCCTTTCCCCGCTTCCCCGGGCCTGTCGGCCCCGGCTCTCCGCTCGTTGCCTCCCTCCGTGTCGCGCGCGTGCGGCCCCGCCCCTCTCCGGGCCTCCCCGCCCTGTTCTTGCCTCCCCTTCCGCGGCCTCCCCGGCCGTCGTCCCTCTCCGCCGCTGGCCGCGCCGGGCTCCCTCCGCCTCGCTCGTTCGCCGGCTGCGGTCTCGTTCGTTCCCGGCCTTCCCCCGCCCCCGCTCCCCCCTCCGCCCGGCCCTGCCCCCCCCTCGCCTCCCGCCCGCGCTCTCCGTCTGTCCCTCCTTCCTGTCTGGCCCTGGTCCGTTTCCCCGTGTTGCGTCCCCTTCCGCCGCCGGCTCCCCTCCTGGTGGTGCCCTTCCGTCCCTTCCTTTCCGTTTCCGCCTTGCGCCCCTCCTCCCCCCGGCCCCCCCCCCTTTGCTTTCTCCTCCGGTGCCGGCGGCGTCCTCCCCGCCCCTCCGCCGCTCCCTGGTCGGCCTCGTTTCTGGTTGCGCCTCGGCCGGTCTCTGCTCGTCTTCGCGCCCCCCCTTTCGTTCTTGCTTCCTGCCCCCTCCTTGGCCCCTGCTTTCGCCGTTGTTCGTCTTTCCTCCCTCCCCGCCTTTCCCCTCTGCCTCTGCCCTCCGCCTGCCCCCGCCTGTCCCTGTTCCTCCTTCCTCCGCTCCCGCCGGCCCCCGTCCTCGGCCCGCCCTCCTCTCTGTTCTCCCCTGCTCCTGTCTCCCGCGCGTCGGCTTGCTTTGCGCCCTCTCCTTTCTTCCCCGTCCCCGCGCCGGCGGCCCGCCCCGGCCCCTTCCGGCCCGGCGCGCCTCGCCGCCCGCCGGGCCGCGCCGCCCGGTGCCCCCTCGGGCGGCCCGGCCGGCCCCTCCCCCGTCCCCCTCCGCGCTTTTTCCCTGCCCCCTTCCCTCTCCGCTCTTGGCGCTGGCCTTCCCGCGGCTGCTGGCCCCGCCTTGCCCTCCCCTGGCTCCTCGTTCCGGGCTTTCGCTTGTCCTCCTTCCCCTTCCCCGCCTCCTCGCGCCCGGTCTTGTTCTTTCTTGTCCCTCCTCCCCGTGTCCGGCTTGGGTCCTTTGCGCGCCTGCTGCCTTCCTTGGCTGTGGTCGCCGTTTCTCCGGCTCCCTCTCCGGCCTCGCCCCTCCTTCTCCGTCCCCCGTCCCCCCTGGTCGGCCCCTCTCCTCCCTCGCCCGTTGCTCGGGCCGCCCTTTGCCTGCTGCGTCGCCGGCCCGCTGGCCGTGCGCTCCGTCGCGTTCTCCTGCCTCCTCGCCGCCCCGGGCCGCGCCCGCGTCGCCCTTTTCTCTCCTCCCTGCCTCCCTTCCCGCCGTCGGGGTTTGTTGCCCGTCTTCGCTCTCGCCTTCCTCCGGTTCTCCGCGTCGTCGCTCCCCTCCCCCCCTCTCCCTGCTTTCCTGCGCCCTTCGCCGTTTCCCTCTGCCTTTGTTCCTCCTTCCCCCTGCCTTTCCTCTTTGCGCCCCGCCTCTGCCTCCTGGCCGGCTCCCCCCGGTCGCCTTCCTCCCCCCGCCGCCGCGCGCCGCCTGCGCCCGCCGCGCCCGTCCGGGCCCGGCGGGTTCCCGGCGTGCGCGGCCGTCCTTCGCCCGGCGCCTTCGTTTTGGGCCGCTCGGCGCCGGTGCCGGCCCCCTGCCCCTGCGTCTCCCGCCTCCGCGCCTTCCCGCCGCCGCTCGCGGCCCCCGCCCTCGCCCGCCCGCGCGGCCGGCGTGGGCCGCCCGCGCGGCTTTTGGGTTCCCCCCGCCCCTGGCCTGCGCGGGGCGCCCGGCGCCCGCTTGCCCGTGCGTCCTGCCTCGGCCTTCGGTCTGCCGCCCCGGCTCCCCCGTCCGCCCCGCCTCGCTTGCGCTTGCTCCGCGCCCGCCCTGGCCTGCGGGTTCGGCCTCGCTGCTCGCCGCCGGGCTCCCCCTCCCC